TGATACCTGACTCGTGTAGCTCGCGACGTTGTCGTCGTCGTCTTCGCGTCTTTTTTTTACTCAGCGACTTGATCAGACTTGATGCGCGTCAGGCGGTCAAGCGCGCAAGCGCGGCTCTTCTACGCGGGGAGCAGCGTCGTGCGGTTGGGGTCGATTCGCAGGTTCCCACATATATATACAGGGTTTTTTGAAGTTGAGTCATTAATTTTCAGATAATGATTGTAGAAGGAAGATAAACCAAAATATGTGTGTAAAAATAAAAAAAAATAAAAAAAAATGTTTACCTTGTTTTATAAAGTATCCTCCCGACAAGTATTTCAGTGCGGACCTGTATTTGATCGTGAGGTCCCCTGTGAGGTCTTAAGTCACCTGATTCACGAGCCCGTTGTACTACATTAACAAAGGCACGGGGTTGGTTGCACTCGATTGGGAAACCGATCCGCATAAACATGTGCCATTTTTTATTTCGTTTGAGCCACGCAACAGATACCACTATTCACTGACACTGACTGTATACAAATGAATGAAATACTTGTAAAAACATCGTTCCAAATTCTTTCGCTTTTTTGTTTCCGATGCGATGAACCAATACGGCGGATAATATCCGTTGTCGCCAAACACGAGGACATAATATTATTATTGAGACAGGGCGGTACTCAAACTTCCAAAGGGCTATAACTTTGTTACTTTAATTTTACCAGAAAAATGGTAAAGGAAAAAAACATTTCTTTTGATCAGATCCACTCACTGTTAAAATAAATGACTCAACTTCGAAGTCACCCTGTATATATATATATATATATATATATATATATGTGTATATATATACTTGCACCATTCGTGGTTGTCTAGGCCTCCCACTGTGCCCACCTCGAAATTCCTCCAAATGGCCCGTATCCCTGACTCTCTGATACACAAATCTGCGGGGCCTTGGATGATGTCGTCTAGGGAAACGATCTGCATACACTCGCGACGATTCTGTATCATTTTGAAGACATTCGCCATAAATTAACAACATATCAACGAGTTCATTATTGGTGTATGAGTGTGCCATTATTAATTTTTTTTTTTTGAAACGCAATCGATTATACGGGTTCGTTACCTCTATACGCGTGACCCTTTACCGTCGGTTGAAGGTTGCAGACTGACCTGACACACTGACCCCGACCCCCGACCCAGTTCTGTCGTCGGGTTCAGCTAGTAGCCGGTACCAGTCTGAGATATCGCGGGTCGCGGCTACAGGACGGTATTCAGATTTTTGATGTTGCAGAGCTCTTTATCTCGGTTCCCTTAAGACATTGGTTTATATGGTACTAAGAAAAATTGCTATGTTTTCAAGATCTACACGTCGTGTAAAGGAAAACCCCAACTTTGCGGACACCCTGTATATTATCAAAATATCATTGTTAATATTTTAAACCTATAACACACTGCTACATTTTCATTATTTTGTGTTTAATAAGAAAAAACTAAGATTTCAATAGTTGGGCCAACTGAAGTGGGAAGGGGCTCGTATATATATATATATATATATATATATATATATATTGGCATATATAGCATGCGAGTTATCCTAATACCTGCAGTTATGCTCATTAACAAATCCATTTAGAAAAGTTGACGATTCATCACTGAAGCAGATATTCTTTACATGAATGGTATTATCATTAGTCGCTGCAGTCATTTGTCCACAAAACTCAACTTGCCTATAGAAAGGGTTTTTGATTCACTCTTGCAAGATCTTCATTTTGAATGGCTGAAGTTCATAGAGTTTAGTAACTGTGTGTACCGAGCCTAATGAAATACCAGTCGCAGCAACAGTTTTGCGTAATGAAGTATTAGGATTTATTCAGTTCCATTTTGAGAAAATGTAGTAACAAGGTCCAAAACATACCTATGGGAAGTTATCTTCCCCGGATATTTGGCGGTAAACGTGACGGCAATTTGCAGAGCACATTGATTTTGTGCAGCATAAATTAGAATCATTTCCACTCTTTCGGCTAATGTGTAACCATTTTGGAAGTAAAATCTGAATGAATAAATGGTAATGACAGCAAATTAAATTCTTTCTTTCCTTTAGCAACTAATAACTAAACAGGTATAACAATAAATGCAGTTCGCCCAGGATATCTGTGTTGATGAAAATAATGCGGAAAAAAGTTCTTGTTGTTATTTGGTTGTTGCCACAACTAATCTTCCGAATTGCTGTTTAAGTTGGAAGTTTCCGTTCTAAGTTAAACGACTTGTAGATTTGGCAAACCCTAACGGGCAACATTTTGAACACTTATTGAAATAAAATATATTTTCGTGTGTTTTAGTTTTCTATCTGAACAAATTAAGATAAATAAAGGTTTTTCTGATTTTCTCAAAAACGAATCGACTAGTTTTAAAAAATCAAACGTCAGAATAAAGGACTTCGACCTTTCAAACAAGCTATTACTTGATACCCATCGTCATTAAAATTTTAATGGGAATGATCCTGGGGGGCCGAGGTTTGAAAGGTGGTGAAGTAGTTTTTAGTTAAAAAGTCGTCCCCTTGACAAGTCTTTTGACGTGACTCTTTCCTTTTTGTATTTTCCAGCGGTTTTCGATAAATCCATGTGGGAAGTTTCAGAAGAAGCAGCTACGTCGCTACATAGCTCGTAAAATGTAGTAGCAGTAGGCTCAAAAATTGGAGTATTTTTCATAAGTTTTTGTCTAGGTAGTAATCATCACCAGTTCTGACTATAATTTCAGATGTTTTATTGTGCGTTTTTTGCTAAAAAAATGAATTTGAAGATTAGCGATTATTTTGAATAAAAAAAGTGGCCACTATGCAGTGAAATGAACATATAAGATCTCGTTTGAGGGTTTGTACAATGCTGTACAACGTTCCTTTGAAGCAGTTTACACCAACTTCATAGTTTTTTGAATAGACATGGAAAAACTTATTTTTTCAAGTTGGACAGTTAATCAAAAAGTTCCTCAACAAGACTTTTGCATCTCCAGATGGAGAATAAATTCATTTGCCCTCAAGATTTTGTCTTGAAATTGTAAGATACGGTCAATATGTAGATCACAAAAGAAAAACAAACTATAGGAGTTTCAAGGGACAGGACATGGTTTACACGTTTAAAATTCAATCAAAAAAATACCCGCGACACTGGATCCAAAATTCAGGTTTGTCGAGGACAGACTCCAAAATAGGTAGAGCTACAAATTAAAAAAAGGCTCGCTGAGGACTATTCCCACTGCCAAGAACAATCTTCGAAGCATAAAAAAAATTAGCCTGACCTTGCATTTGACTGACCTAATCATTGTATTATTCATCTCTTTTGGAGCCTAGCTCTTGTCTTTCGATCCTTGAAATGAATTTCGATAACGCTTTGCCGTATAATTGACACCAAAGTGACATCGAAATAAGCTTCAGAGGCTGAGATTCAGTTGATGTCAGATTTCTAGACTGGTAATTCTTATCCTTTGAAGGTTAACAAGTACAAAAATAGGTATTGATCTACATTATTCTTATGTACGTTGCTAGTTGCTATTGCTATTGTGGGAAATACTTAGTGGAACTTGGAAA